AAAAAGGCACAGGAACATGCAGACCCACTAACTCCTGCAAAATTTTCCAAGTTCTCTGTTGTCTCTGGCTTAATATRACACTAGTGCTTAATACTTTCACCTTGTGTTCCATACACAGTGATGAGAGACTTGTGCGATGCACCATCCTCTCTTTAAAGACAGAGCTTCCAAAATGATCCTCACAGATTTACTGCATCAGATTTTCTKGCAAAAGGGATTTGTGGTCTGTTCAAGCGAATGTCAAGAGCYGTTCCTAACCTTGTGCTCCCATTTCCCTTTCCAAAGGGAGAAATGGCTAAACCTAAGCTCATCTAGGTCGACCACAGGAGGARTGATAAAGAGCCAGCTGTCTGTCACAGGGGGAGAAGAAGGGTGAGCTGATGGACATAGATCACTCACTGGCAATAGCAGCCAACCTGTCATCCACTCTATTAACACCGCAGTCAYTCACCATAACTTTTACCCYACATTGACCACAGGCTATGTATTTTCCATGAGAGAAATACAGTTTGTCAAAATACCAGCTTTTGCTGTTAAAAATACCGTTCTGATATTTTGTATGTCACCTCTGGAGGGACTGGTCACTTGCTGAAWGCATGTTGCAAATGCCTCCCCAAAGTGATATTCCTTGTATAATAGCTACAACCTCTCTATTATTTTTTTACAACTGGAAAGCAGTAAAACACCTTTTAAACAATCCCTCTTTAGGTTAAGCTCAGTGCTGCAGAAAGCTGTCATGGTGATTTTGATTTCAGAGTCTAAGAGAAAGGGAAAGAGACCTTTATTCCGGTTATAAAGGGAGTGGATCCTATCTGTGGTTACTGTACAGAGAGCTTTGATGTTTTAGGGTAGAACTGTAGGATGTTATTCACTGTTCACTCCTGAGAAACCACACACACAGTATAAATGTAATTGGAGTTTGAAGAAAAACAAACACACACACACACACACACACACAAAGATCAACTCAGGTCCTGTAGAGAATACTGATGTGCAGTAAATTGGAAGAATTTGATCCCTTGTTCATCCTCTCCTGTGCATTTGGTTTTATTCCCCATGTCCTTTGAGCTGTCTGTTATTTTCACATASTGCCAGGTATCAGAATACTGTACAAATATTGCAGTGCCTCACACCAAGGAGAGCACAAGAACACATGAGTGATTGATGTAATTTTGGACATATTCACAACTAAATGTCGCAAGAACAGTAAGGCTTCTGGTAAATTAGTTTGACTCTAACAAAATATTTTGTTTCTGGGAAATATGAGTAGGATGCTTTTTAAGGGCTGCATTAGCCAAGATTGCAGTGCAATGACACCAAGGCAAAGCTGTGAAGGAGGTTGTGTGTGAGCAGCTATAGGAATTCAAAGTGAGATTGACAAAGCAATCATATCGCGCATATGAAAATCGATGAGCACATTACTGAATACCAGAACGTAAGGAACAAAGAGAGGCAGAGCAGTGATTCAGTTCTTCTAGGAAATTATATCCATTATWTCAAAAATCTACACAATGGATCAGGTGAAAAAGCAAGGAATGAAACAATATGAATAGGGCTGCCTACAGCCTATGGGCCTGCTTGCATCCATAGGGTAAACTTTCAGCTATAGCATTTATATGTTATTTATGCACATTGTACTGGTGATGTCATCAGATTATTGAGCTCTTCCCAGCTGAAATTGGTTGAACGTGAAAAAATCCTTAGAAAACCTAACAAAATCCATAGTTTCCATACTCCAATACGTAAAATACRTAGTTCCCAAATCAATTGGTTTTGTTTATTAGCTGGTGTTATTGRCATAAGGTCAAATATTCAACCCACTCCTGTTATCGTTTTGATCTTTAAGAGCCTATGGACATTAGTACTCGTTACTTAATTGGAATTTTCCCTCAAGTACATTTAACAAAACATCAAGTATGAGAAACTAACAACTTGCAAGAATTTTATGGTATGCTTTGTATTTAACTGYGTGTGTTTTCCTAATAATTTCTTTTGTTATCACTGTGTCACACTCCCAAGGACAAGAATCTTAACATGTAAATGTTTTGTTATCTTCCCCCAGTCATTTTAAGAACATGAGTATGAGAAAACTCCAAAATTCCTAAAACATAAAATGAGAATAAGCAAAAATTACTAAGCACATCCCATACACAATATACCCAGAAGCTCACTTACAAGACAGGTTGATTCTCTTGCCMTGCTATTAAGGTTGGATTGTCTATTCCCTTGTGGAACAAGAAACAGGTAGGATGTTACAAATCAAAAGGAGATACATAGACAAAAAAATACAGGAATGCAAATTAAGTGYATTTCTCATCTTCTCCATGTCACAATCCCTGACACATTGCCCAACACCATTAGGAACAGATCTTGAAATTTGTAATTTCTGAGGTCTTTTGCTCAGCGATCAGAGAGAAGTAATTTTATCCACTAAAAACAGATTACTCTTTCAGTGACTGAATTAAAATTTCTGCATACAAAATACTGTATATACCTTAACTAAATATTATTCAACAGAATAATTATGGAGAGGATATCCAAACAAATAAACTAAATTCATGCCAAATCTTAAAACTAGGGAGACATGTTTTGCTTGCATATTTAATTCTGTACTGGATTTGACTTTGACAGTAAAAGAAGCATATATTATAGCTGATTAGCTTTATAAGAAAAACGACACATCTTGAAAACGTGTCCAAAATGAAAGGACTTGAACGCTTTCTGTGATTATTGATTGGCTTTATAAGTTTGGTTAGTTAAATAAATGAAGAAACTCACAGCATCTGCTGAGGAGAGGATAAACACCTTGTGAAAAACTGCTTTACCATGCACTACTTTTTCTAACCATTATGTAAGGAAAATATCTTCAAGCCTATCTTTATTATCAAGCCCTGAGGTGAAAGAAACCCTGGAAAGTCAAATGTTTTTCTCTAGCAAGGATAGCACCTTCACAGATGCTCTGTACCTATACAAACTCACATTCTTTAGTTCTTGATAAATGTGCTGTGTTTTTAAATTATGGTGTTTGGAACAGAAATAATGTGTGGATTCATCCTTTTGTCTCTCTCCAGTGGTGCTCTTTGTACTAATACAAARGAGGGATGTAAATCATGTGTAGTCAGAAACTCTGGCTACAGATATAATTACTCAAGTCTAGTTCTTCATGGTTCACAACTTCTTTTTTCAGAGATTGATTTCTAGAGTGTTTTCTTTTGCTATGTACACTAGATTACCTATGGACAGGTCTCATACTGTTGTATAAGAAGTATCAGGGCTTAAAAAAAAATTCCTGAAATAAGAAAACCCGAATTGTTGCCATCACAGGGCTATTTAGCAGTACATCTTGGCTATTCCACTAGTTCTCCCAGCCAGACTTGGTGTCTTGAACTTGTTCCCCCCTTTTCCGTTCCATAAAGGGCTTCAGTTCTGTCACTCACACCAGCAGAACATCTATTCCAGCACAGCTTTCCCTTCTCAATTATTTTTAATGTTTTTTTTCTTGTGTCTCATTATTAGAGCAGACACAAGAACAGTTGAATCAGTAGGACTGAGGGAATGGCAATGGCAATAGCAAGAATAAGGAGCACAGAGCACTGCAGGGACAGAGTTCTCTTAAAATGGTTCCCAGCTGGTCCCCTCTGGTTCTCAGTTCTCATTTCCTCTTTGGAGAAGCAAGTGTAATTTATGGCAATAATATGGCTGTTCCTCACCCAAACTCCATTACAGGGAGGAACGAACAACAGAATGATGGCTTGGGGATTCAGGCTCCTAAGGTTAGAAATCTCTGCAAACTAATTAAAGACTGGTATTAAGTAACCATCACTCATCTCTTAGACCTGTATCTAAGTTAAAGAATACTCTTCAATATTTAGTTATTAGCTCATAAGTTTAGAATACATCGGAACTGCAGAATCGATATGGGCAAATGGCAAGGAAGGTAGGGGCACAGCTGAACTGCCCAAAATTTCACCTTTCCCTGCTTGAAGGATGACACACTTTAGGCATGAAGATATTTTACTGTTCAACTATATGCCTGCAAATAATCTTGTCTAACAATGTACTTATGAAATTGCTGTGTGAAATGTTTCCCAAAAAGCCATCAGTTTGGCTGAAATCTACCTCTGAATAACACCATGGGAAAAAAAATGGGAGAGAAAAGCTCTGGTTTTGTCCTCTTTGTTCTGCATTTGTATGGGGATGAAGTAGGCTGCACTGCAGAACAGTAGTTTTGTCACAGAAGATATCTCAGCTGATAAAAAGAAATAACCTTGTCACCTTCTGTATTCTTTGCTAGAGCTAACATTATGTCTTTATGCTTCTGGTATTTTACCGTGAGACACTGAGTCAAACTTACATTTCTTTTGTCTTTTTAGTTTTTGTCCTCATCATCAGAACCTTGACCTCTAGGCCTAATGTGGGCATTGAATTAGCCATCTGCTCTCACTGGATTTTAGATATTTGCACCTTAACTAGAGACTTCAACTCAGGAGTGCAACTCTGTTCTTGCTAACACTGGTGCAAAGGAGGGATCATTAAAATACAGTCAGTGGAATTACTCTGGTAGAAGATGGGGGTAAATGGGGCTCTGGATTGTCCACAGAATTTCAGACAATTGGAAAAGATGTTGCAGTATGTCCTCCAATTACTATTAACAAAAGTGCTCTTCCCCACATAGCCATTTTTCTCAAAGTGACAATTTCTTTCGAGCTCTGCTTCCCATTTAGACTTCCACTGAATGAGGGCAAATGAGAGTGATGCTCACTTTCATCAGCCAAGCAGCATTGGAGGACTGGCCTTGCTATTACTATGCACTTACAAGCAGCTCAGAAGCAATTGCAACACACTTGGTTGTCTAATTTGAAACTCTGAAAAATAAAGAAAAGGTTTTTAAGGCTCTGTCCAGGAAGAGAAGAGCCTGTGAAGCAGCATTTAAAACTTTCAAGTGCTTTTTAGAACAAAATTCTTGATAAGATTTTTTCCCCCTCTCTTCTTTTTTCCAGCATGGTGTGTTTCTCCTGTGAGAATTCATGACAGCAAGAGATACCTTAGAGATGCGGTAAGAGCTGTGAGAAAAGGGTTTGCCCTCCTTGTTGTTGACATGCTCAGATTTTACAGCAAAAAGCAGACCTGGTTTTGGTGAGCAGGTGAAGGCGAATATTCAGCTATATAGAAATTAAACTGCACTGCAAAACAAGCTATGACCTTTGAACAGTGATCCCATATTGGCTGACAAATTAAATAATAAAATTCTGCACTGAGGTCTCTTGGTGAACTAATGAGTGAAATCCATTGGCTCTTGTCCTTTGTGTCCTTCATGGACTGGAAGAAGTTTTGCTTACAGTCCATGAGATCAGATTTGACTTGGACACTGAGAGCTAGCCCAGTGGTCAGGGTCCTAGCAGTCTACTTAAACAAAAACAATTTTCATCTCTGTAATATCCAATTTATATCCATTTACACTCCCTTATATATGCTTAGATTAAGAATGACAGAATCTAATTTAGGAAATTTTATTAATCACTTCTGAATCAAACTCTGTATCTTCATTGTAAGAGAAATTAAATAAAGAGATGTCGCGTTCATATTTATGAGGAATTTTCCTTCACCTCATAGCTTCTGGTTTATTGTTCCTTAACAGCTTCTCAAAAGAATGTGGGCCTAGAAGCTGTTTACACTGGCTACACACAGCTCTCTTTCAGTACATAAGCAGCTGCCAGCTGAGGAATACCCAGCACCAGCATTCTTGGACTGGAGTGTTTGTACTTCACCCAGTAAAGCCAAGTCCAATGAGGAGAGAATGTGCATGCAAAGGAAAGCCTTAACAGTTCATTGCAAAGTCTGTGCTTTGTCAAATTTAATGTATTTACTGGTAACGTTATGCCTGTACTTTTCTCCTTACAGGCTACTTATTGCCCATCCAGTCTTATCAGAATTCATGAAGAGTAGAGTTTGGAAAATATTATGATGGACAAATACAGTTCTAGTGCTGATACGAAGATGTGTCATTAAAGCCAAACAGCATACAAAAATTTATAGAAAGTATTCAAAAGAAAAGAAGCAAAAGAATTGTAACTGAAGCAATCTGGTTTCTAAGTGGCTTTCATTTACTTCAGCAATTGTGCTGAAAACACTGTTATGGGTTAGGTAAATAAAATTTTTTGTGTGAGAAAATATTTACTATTTGGCTTCCTGGTGGTTTAAATTCTTTTTGATAAAAATCTAATGGAAATCTGCAGTAACCTTCAGTGTCTACAGAGATTAAAGCTTTCTCATCAGGAAATCCCAAAATGCTACACAAAGAGCACAAGTAATGGTTTTGCTTTTAAGGGAATAAGTGAGAGAAAGTTTGCTCAGGCTGTACTGTTGCAGAGGCATAAAAGTGAAATATTCATCTGAAGTTGTTTGCATTTGATATTTTTCCTCTTATTCTCTTTAATAAGTTCAGTATAGCACATACATTGTTTGTGTGCTTTTTGGTTTCCTGTCAAGTTTAACCAGTATGAGTAGAGTATGTCTGTATGAATACGAAGATAATCAAGGTTTCATGAAAAAAAAAAAAAAAAAATCCATCCAGGCCTGGATGGGAAGTTTGTGCATGCTCAGGGTGCTGCACAGAGCCTTTGAGCCCTTGCCCTTCAGAGGTGGCATTTGGATGTAGCAATCTTTTCGAATTAATAGGATCCAAATGGCTGGGCAAAAGATGATGAAATTAGAAGTTTCAAAGCCGCTTCACATGAATTCTCTTTTAAATAAATGTAATTTGTGGGAGGAGAGTTTTTCAGGCATTGATTTTTTAACGCCAAAGTTAGCAAAAATACTCACATTGCCTGTTATATCTGTCTGATGGGCAGAATGGTGCTGGTAAACACACCTGACATCTTCAAATTATCACAGTGATAAGTCATTTTCTTTAAAGTATTTCTAAATATTATTTTTTGTTGAAATCATGTCTAGCTGCTCAGATGAATYTTTGAAAAATAAAGAAAAGGTTTTTTAAGCCTCAGTTCAGGCAGAAAGTTGTCTGTGCAGCAGCATTTAAAACTTTCAAGTGCTTTTTAAGACAAAATTCTTGATAAGAATTTTTCCCCTCTTCTTTTTTCCAGCATCCAGGATCTGGTGTGTTTCTCCTGTGAGAATTCACGACAGCAAGAGATACCTTAGAGCTAAGGGAAGAACTATTGCAGAGGGGTAGAAGTGAAATCTTCACATGAAGGTTCTTTGCATTTCTTGTTTTTTTCTCTTATTCTCTTAAACACATTCAGTATGGGTATTGTGCATATATATGACATACATTGTATTGCAGGAGAACCCTCTGTGAGGGAAATCAGCATTTTATTCTTAAATGTTGAAGATTTCTCATGCTGCCATTTTAGGGATGTTTTTATCAAACCTGTTCTAAGCCATGTTAACTGCCTGAAAGAATTTGATCTGATTCTGTTTACTACTGCTCAGAGAGCAGAAATGCAGAGAAAACCCTGGAATAAGACAGAAACAGACAACACTGCTGGAGTGGTTTTGTAGAATTGCTTAAGTAGATTTGTCTATTCTTTGAGGCCTCCTTAACCTTGCTTCATGTCTCCTTAATGAGACTACTGGTAAAAATTTCAGTGTGAGCCGTTCAAGTATGACAAGACTGACTGCAAACAACCTCACTAGTGCTGCAGAGCACATTTTTGATTCTCTAGTTTACCTGCTTGACTTTCTTCACTCTGTCTCCTCACAAGACTTTGACTAAATAACCTTGAGAAATGTAATTATACACTCACTATTGATTAGTAAGGATCCATATTTAATTATGCGTAACATGTTCCACTTTTAAACTTTTAGTTCTTTGTTCATCAACAGTTCATGTCAGACTGCAGCTAACTTTCAGCCACTGCTGTAATGATCTTCATGGGAAAATGAGGTTTCCCCTTTACTGAAATTGCTTAAGGAACAGAGTTACTTCCTGCTCCTCTATCTGCATGCAAGCTGTCATCCTTCCTTTGGTGCAGGAGTGTGACCAGTCATTCCTCCTTGAAGGATCCTATTTGTAATTTTTGCAAGGAAAACAGTTTTGCTGAGGCAGTTCTTTGAGGTCTTTGCTTTGAATCTGTACTGCAGTCTCGAGGGACCATGTCAGTTAAATTTGGACCTATGGCTGTAACAGTTTCTTTATTTTTAGTTCACGAAAACTGTTAAATAATAGTGGCATAAGAATATGTACTTGAGCAAACCTAAAGTTTTCTCTAACCTGTTTCTATTTACTGAATAAAAAAAGTATTTACAGTAGAGTGGGAACATGTAATTAAAAACTCCTGAACTTCAGCACACTAAAAACTGACTTTGCAGGCAGTCTCCTTAGAAGTAATACGTGGTGATTTGCTTCCTATTTAATAAGGAAACCTGCTCAAAATAAAGCTTACTTTACAGTATTCTTCTTAAGTAGGAGCATAATTGAATCTTACTTCCAGAGAAAATCTACTCTATGAGCATTAGATTGCAATTCTTGCTTCTGAATCTGCATCTCCCTGTGGGTGGGGTTTGTGTTTTTGTGGTTAGTTCAGTGAAGAACAAAACCAGAAGACTTTAGTCTCTATATCTGGTTTATATATGCTCTGAATTGGAAGAATTGCCATGACAGCAACGCACATCATTGTGGTACTTCCAAAAGCCAGACCTATCTTACTGCAGTTCTGCACTGGGAGCTTCTGCATAGACCTTCTCCAGTCCCAAACACGGGCTAATTGCTACTGATAATTCAGGGTCAACTTTAGAAGCCTCAAACTTGGTGCTAAGGGAATGAACTTGGAATGAAAGGAAATTTAAAATTCTCTCCCCAGTGATCACCTCCATCTTCTTGCTGAAGTATCTTCTACCGACTTCATATAGAGTGCTGATATTCAATGGGGCATCCATGAATCCAGCCTGCTTTTAATGCTGCCATGTCATGTTCCTCGTTATCTCTTGGGATTTTTTATTTGCTACCAAGGCAGTGCATAGGCGAGTAAAAGGAGAATGAATGTGTCCTCAGAAGACACCATTATAAAATCCTTCCCTGTGCAGAAATTGTGGCATGAAAATGCACCGATGAGCTCATTGCCTAGTGGGGCTATTTCTGGGATGTTTACCCTCACCTCTTCCTCAGAGCTGTGCCTACTGTAAGCAGCCAGATTTGAAGGTTTTGCTTAAATAGCAGTGCAGTGTTAAGCAGCGGAAGCATTTTCCTTTGAACGTGGCTGTCCTCCAAGAGAAAGGAGTTATGAGTAGTTCATTTGTACAATAAAGCCAGTTGTTAATATGCTCTGGGAGCTGTTTGGATCCAAGATGTTAAAAGTGCAGGAACGTTATAACTGGAAAGTGCTTTTAATGGCAAATGATCTGTATGAAGTAATGAAAAGAGAGAGATTGCAAGGGAAGGGTAAAGATCAGGTTCAAAAGCATCTCAGGATAACTCATGGGGTTACAGCAGAGATTTACACACAGTAGTTTCATGGGGTCCTGTTTGTGTTGAGATCATCCCTGGTGAGATATAGGATTATATAGGGTGTGAATCTGCCATAACTGAACTGACAATGAGATATACATCCTCTAGTTGACTAGAGGTACAATAATAAAGAGGTACAATAATATCTCATTATAAAAATAACAATTTATAAAACTCAGAATCACTTATAGCTTTCCTTCACGTTGAGCAAGAAAATAACGAGAAAAACAGGAGTAATCCTAAAGCTTGTTCATTCTCTGAGCAAGAAGTAGGTCTCCAAATCTTCCAGGCTGTCTGATCAACAGCAAAAAAAAAAAAAAAAAAAATCACCACTGTGAAAACCTGTTTTAAAAAAATACAGTAACTGTATTTACTGTACAAATGCTACTGAGTTTTAAAAGCTCTTCAGACAAAAGGCAGAAGAAATCTTCCATTTTGTTGTACTACTGGCTAGCTCTGGTGCATCCTGCAGACTGTTTCTGCCTATTTTCCATCTGATAAAACCATCATGATGAATTGTGTTGTGTAGTTCTATAAATGATAACACCCCTCAAACAAACATGATCATTTGTGGAACTATAGAAAGGTGTACAAGGTGACGGTGGCAAGACTGATAGGAGAACAATTTTGTTCTCAGAAGTTCACTCTTAGGATTTACAAAATAGCCTCTGTGAGCTGAGACAGAAAATAAGATTAGAATTTATCTGAAAATTACATCCAAGGTGTCTCTTTCATACTTCTGTTTTTTTTTCATGAAAGCTTGTTGGCGTATCGTTTTAGTTTTTTGCATTTGTGAAGGAGGAGAAAGTGAGCAGGGAATTACCTAATATATTCCTAGACAATTACATTCCTGTTAAATGATTTGTAAATATTCCAGTAAACAATGTTTGCATCAGGTAGAGAGCTCTGGTAGTTGATTCAAAAGTTGATTAYGGAAAGTACAGTTTCCAATCTATTTCTTAGAGCCATGACAATAAAAATTAAATCCCTTCTTTAGTAAAAATATGAACAATAGCTATATTTGATACTTTGATCTCAAAGCACAAATTGCACTGTACAGAAAATATGCCATCCATCCATCCATCCATCCATCCATCCATCCATCCATCCATCCATCCATCCATCCATCCATCCATCCACCATCCATCCCTGCCTTCTCTTAGTTCCTGCATTTCTTTTGTTATATGTATTATTTGTATGTCAGAAATATCCTGCACCCAAGTTTTTTAAAAGACTGAAAAGTCATTAAAAACATGATTCTTGCACGGAGCTATTTTAGATTCTTAAATTTCAAATGCCATTCTCTCCACCTCTCCTCCCCCAAAAATAAAGATAAAAAACAAAATCAGCAAAAACCTGACAACTGAGACCCAATGTTTTTCTTCACAATATATGCATGCATATATAAATAAGAAGTGAGTTAGATTAATATTACATCTGACTCTACTATTATGTGCATGTAGTTGCATCTCAAACTGCCAGTTTGCAGACCATTGTGGCTATATTGCAGGTGATGCTTAGCCACTGCTTTTCTGTAAATTTAGCATGTAAAATTACTGTAGAAATCCTACACACTCCTCTACTGTGTTGTTTGTATTTTCAATTAGAAAGCAGTAACTGCTGCCTAAATGATAATGTCAACCATTCAGCTGGTGCTTAAGTAACTAAATAACTATTCAGTGTTGCTGTGATAACAGTGATATGCTGGTGTACACATTAACAGAAGTAGGTACCTTGTAAAGTACATTCCTCATGAAGTATATATTTGGCAAGAATACATACAAAACCTACACTCCTTTTCTTTTTGTTTTTAAGTTAAGTGTTCTTGAATTAGATAATGGAGCAAATCAAACAGATGCATGAAATAAAGAATTTTGAATGACAGAGAGGGGTTAAAATTAGTACAATTCAGTGCAGTTGGATTTGGACTCTTGAATAACATCTGGGCTGACAGTCACAAATGTGAGATTGTGGCTTAGCTTTCAAAAAAATTGTCTTCCTTGGTCAGTCTGTCAAATCTCTGAGACAGAGGAAGTAACTTCTGGCAGCAACGCATGTGAAAACAACAGTTTCAGATTCCATGTCWTTTWAAAACATTTYTSWGACTTTTACTAGATCCACAAAAAGGTTAAGTACTAGAGGAAATCACAGTGAGTCTCCTCACTGATGTTTGTCTTTGGCTGTTCTGCTTCAGCCACCCATTAGATTAATGCACACAGAAGCACTTTCTAACAAGTCCCAGATAAGAGCTCCATTTTTTCACATTAATACAAGAAGGAGGATTATCAGAATGTGACCTTCATCTGCTGTGAAGTTGCATGGATAAATATGTCTACGAGATAAGGAAACTGTAGCCAAATTGTGTTATTTTTTAACTAGATCTGCCAGGTAAATAAGGCACAGTTATGCTCCCCCACAATTCATGTTGTATATTATATTATATGGTCTCATCATCAAGGCCTCAGAAAGTCTTTGGACAGCTCATGTCTGATACRCTAGAAAAACTGAAAAAATTTGATCAAGGCACCAGCTCTTCTACACTCAGTCCATTATGGAAAACCTCAGAGCTAAAGAAATCACCTCAAATGGATTGCTGCTGGYTACAGGAAGTAGCAACTACTCTGCAGGGATCATCTCTTGGTCCCTCTTTTGAGCAGCACTGATGCCTGGGAACCCTGACAGTCCTTGACTTCGGAGGGAACTTTTACATTTGAAATAGCATTGCCTCATGAAAAAAGTCATGAGGA